AAATATTTGAAAAGATACGACTCCATGTTACACAAATGGCCAATAAATACATGAAAATATCCTTAGTACTATTAGCAACAAGAAAAATGCAGCAAAATAGCTCTTTATACCAACAAGGGTAGCTGTAATTTAAAAATGGGCAAACAAGTGTTGTTAAAGGATATAGAAACACTGGAACCTTAATACAGTGTTGATAGGAATGTGAAATGGTACAGCCCCTTCGTAAAATAGTTTAGTTTTTCTGCAAAATGTTAAATATAATTACTATATGACTTGGCAATTCTAGTTTCCAAAAAATAGAAAGCACACTTTCACACAAAAATTTTGAGATAGATAGAAAAGATGTCTATCAACTAGTAAGTAAATAAACTAAATTTGATTTGCCAAGCCAATGAAATATTATTCAACCAAGAAAATTAATACAGAACTTAATTCATAACATATAACATGGATGAACTTTGACGTTATTCTACATGACACAAGCCAGACACGAGAGCAAAAATATTATGTAATTCCATCTACATGAAGTATCCTGTAGATGCAATCCAGGGAGATAGAAAGTGGATTTAGTACTGGTCAGCAGTGGGAGAAGGAAGTTGCTGCTTAAGGAGTCCAAATTTCCCTATGAGGTAATGAAATGGGCTGGAATTAGACAGTGATGATGGCTATAAGGCTTTGTGAATATACTAAAAACAGTGAATTTTATAATATATGAATTATATCACAGTTTTAAATGATTCATCTTTTTATTTAATACTGTGATATGCCCTATAGACACTCTATTAGATGCTGCTTGAATAAAACGTTCCTACAGCAAGCAGCCAGGTATGTAGCTCAGTAGTAGAGTACTTACCAAACAATCACTTGGCCCTTAGTTTTGTCTCCAGGACTGCGGGATGGGAGAGGAGAAAGCCAGGTACAATGTCTTGTGCTAGTAATCTTATTTATTCCATTGGCTAAGATTGAGATTATCATATGTCAGGTCTAGCCTAGGGAAAAAGTCTGTGAGATCTCTCCCATCCCCCATTTCAACTAATAAGAAGCTCTTGCCATCCTGGCAGTACAAGAAACATAAGTAGATGAATCATGGTCCAGACCAGCCTGGGCAAAAAGCAGACCTTATTTGGAAAAAGAAAGTTGTATATATATGATTTGATTTGCCCAACATTTCACTTAGACTTATTTAATTACTAGAAATACAATTTTAAAGTTGTACATTGAATATGTATGTGTATGTATGTATGTGTGTATGTATGAGTTTAACCATGATGGCTAACAGGTGGCCGAATGACTATTATTTCTTTATTCAGCCTATCCGTGACATGTGGATAGTCTGTCCAGCCATTCCTCTGTGCTGGCCTCCTGGCCGCTAGGGAAGGGAAAATAAAACCCAGAAAGATAATGCAGGCAGACAAGGAAGAGGAGAAGCAATGAGGCTGACATTAACAATAATCCATTAGCTCATTGTGCCCTGAATAATCAATGTGGCCAAGTTCCTACTGGATATAAAGTACTCAGGCTGCTGGGGGTACAGCTGCCTGTGGCCACAGCTTATGGCTGCTCCTCTTCTCAACTTGCATACATGCCTGTGGGGTGAAACATGCACGCACTATCTAGGATGATTAGGCAAAACAGAAAGACAAGTCTAAATTAAGAACTCAGGACTTCAGGATATTTGCTTTGCCTGGACAGTGCAGGAGGTCTGGGATTAAAAAGGGTGAGGAAGACAGCAGCTGGTCCATGCCTTGCTCATTCCTCTCCTCTGCACCCACACACCCACTCACATGCATAGGATTGACAGAATCATAGTAGCTGCTTGACCTAGCCTTAAGATTACTCCTTTCTTAAAGAATATTATAATCTGTGTAATGGTCTCATCACATTCAGAGATGCTGCTTAACCATTTGATGCTGATTCTCACTTTCCCTTTCTGGCTTGGTTCAGGTTTCTCTTGTCTATAAACTACTTTCAAACTAGCAAGCATATTATTTTCTTCTTATCCCAATATCAGTTTTATGGTGAATGGTCTCAGTGCTGCCATCTGGAGCACATCTCTATCCTATCTTAGGCTCCAGAACCCTATCCATACCATGAAGGTTATTATTTGTCTAATATCTTAAGACTGGTCCTGGTCTTCATTCCTGATTGCACCTTTGGAGCTCCAACATATATTAATACTTGGGTGTCACCTATGTTTTTATGACATAAGTAGTCACAGCTGTGACCTAAACATATGGGATTTCCAGCTTAGCGGGTAGTTCTCACATGCAACCACTGTAGGAACTGTTCATTTTTGCAAATGCTCTTTTTGCTCTGATGTATTTTGCCTGAATATAGGATACAAACAGAAAAAGGTGTTATTTTCCCTCCAAAGACAGAGACAATCTAGTGAAGGAGTTATGGAGGGCCTATTTTTTTCTAGAAGAAGTGGAGTTAAGTGACTGAAATGGGAAGATTCTTTTAAAGCATGTTAGAATGTGTCATTTTCAACCTAGCAATCCATCAATGGCTTCCCTTTCATTCATAATAAAACTGAAGCTCAGTATAGTGAAGCTCACTGTGATGGCTGATGAAACTTTAGATGATCCCTTTAAATCAATTTTTTTCACACTTCCTATCCCATTTTCTGTGAAATCATTCTCCATAGCACTTATGACTGTCTGAAATATTCATTTTGCTTTTTTATAAATAGATTTAAAAAACAACTGAGACTTAGAAAAGATTCCCTTATGTTTATTTTGAACTAAAATAGTGAATGGAGACTTCATTGAAATTTCTTTTTTTTTCTTCTGCAATGTTTTAGGTGGGCAAGAAACATTTTCTTAGCATCAATCTGATTTTTACCTTAAATAATGGTTCAGCAGGATTAGTGCCATGGCTTAGACAGAGCTAGGACAACAGGAACAATAGGAATAGAGGACAAGTGGTGCCAAGGGCAATGAACCATAGAAAGTGAAGACCAAGCAGAATGCTGGTGCCTCACATCTGTAATCCTAGCTACTCAGCAGGCTGAGATCTGAGGATTGTGGTTAAAAGCAGGACAAGGAAAGTCAGACTCTTCCCCAATGAACTTCATAAAAGTTGGAAGTGGAACTGTGGCTCAAGTCACACACACACACACACACACACACACACACACACTCTCTCTCTCTCTCTCTCAAAAGTTAAGGCCAAGAAAACATGATCAACAGAAGAATGTTATATGAGTGATCTTTGCTGGCAAATCAGGAAGTTATTGGGTCTATAAACATGTTAATCCTGTGGTTTCATGGTAGAAAAGAGACAATGCAGTATGTTTCAATCATTTCAAACATGAAGAGTTGGAGAGGACAGAGGAACATTTCAGTGGTCATGCCCAGCAGGCAATGGAAATGTGTAGAACACAAGTTGGAATTGGAAATAAGTCAAATGCATAATAAAACCAGAATAGCAGTTCCTGGCTATGTATCAGATTCATATGAATGAACTTTTAAGGAAAAATGCCTATGTCCACTAATTAGTGGTCTTTAAATATAAAATGCCCAGTGGTTGAAAACTATTTGTCTAAGTAAGTGATAACAGAGCTCAGATAAGTTTAGAAACATAGCAAAGGCTTTAATGGGTAAAGATATAATTTTAAGGAGGAAGAGGAAGGCTGAGTATCCATGGCTTATCCTGCAATCCTAGATATTCAAGAGGGTTGTGGTTCAAAGCCAGCCTACACAAGAAAGTCCACAAGATTCTTCTATCCAATTAACTGCCAAAAAAGCCAGAAGTGGAGCTGAGGCTCAGGTGTTAGAGTGCTAGGCTTGACCAAAACAGCTTGAAGACAGTGCCCAGGCCATAAGTTCAAGCCCCAGGGAAGGCACTAAAAAAGAAGGAGGAGATGTAACAATGCTCGATAGGAAATGGACTCATTACCTTGCTCATGTAACTGTAACCCCTCTGTACAGTATCTTTACAATAATATATATATATATATATATATATATATATATATATAGGAAAAAAAGGAGGAGAGAAAGAAGGAGGAGGAGGAGGAGGAAGAAGAAGAGGAGGAGGAAGAGATGAGGGCATAAAGAAGAGGAGGAGGGGAGGAGGAGGAGGAAGAGGAGAGGGGAGGATAAAGAGGAGGAAGAGAGTAAGAGGAGGGAAAAACAATCATGTCAGCTATTGTAAAGGTGGTCAGGATTAGGGATATATTATTTTGATTTTGTTTTATGAGTCTGTAAATAAAAGTAAGTTGTCTTTTTATCTTCAAATATATTAAAATGTTTGCCTGAAATAGAAATAATTCAAAGATTTCAGATGGTTACTATACTTTTTTTCCTAAACAGCACTGGGGGTTGAACTCAGGTTCTCATGCTTTGCTAGGCCACACTCTACCCCTTGAACCATGCCCTCAATCCTTTTTTGATTTTGTTAATTATTTAATAAGGTCTTTCTTTTTGTTTTCTTTTCCAGGCCAGTCTAAACTGCATTCCATCCATCTAAAATTCTCCCATAACTGGAAGGATAAGTTCATACCACTACTCTCAGCTTTTTATTGGTTGTGAACTTTTTGCTGGGGAAAGCTTTGAATCGTGATCATATTGATCTTAGCCCCGAAGTAGTTAAGATTATAAATATGATCCATTATACTCAACTTGTTACTATAGTTTTTCTTTTTTTTTGGGGGGGGGGTCCGGTCATGGGCTTGAACTCTGGGCCTGGGTGCTGTCCCTCAGTTCTTCAGCTCAAGGCTAGCGCTCTACCACTTGAGCCACAGCACTACTTCCGGCTTTTTTCTTTTTGCTTATGTGGTGTTGAGGAATCAAACCCAGGGCCTCATGCATGCAAGACAAGTGCTCTACCACTGAGCCACCTTCCCAGCTCCACTACAGTTTTTCTTTATCAACTTCTTTCTCCATAGTTGGAGACTTTTAGCAGTTAGTGATAACAACAGATGGTTTAGCAATCTCAGGATTAGCACATCAACAAAGCAGAATGAAGGAGGTTGTACAAAATTAAAGAATACTTACATTTTAACTTTATCCTGTATTCCACTCCACAAAACAAGAGCTGGGGTAGAAGAGAAGAAAAAAATTCTCATCAAACACAGTTTTCACTGTGCTAGTAGAATTAATAACCAGTTAACAGGGCCATTTCCATACAACCAAAGGCAAACCACTAACCATGAATCAAATTCTTTCTCTTTCAAAACACATGTGTGAACACACATACACCCATTGTAAACAAACAAACAAACAAACAGAAACAAATACTTCAAAAGGACAAATACAGCTTAGAAGATTGTAAATTGAGCAAAGAAAAAGCTAAAACATAAATATTTGCTTAGTGTTGGGCAACTACTGAAAAGAGTTGTTAAAAGGAGAAAAAAAATGAATTGTACAGCCAAAATTAGTGAAATGTTATTAATAAAAGAAATGGAATGAAATGAAGACCAATAAACTCTGGGCTGACTAGAAAGGGAAAAAATATCCTCTTAATTATTGCTGAAACAATCTTCCCAAGTTGGAGCGAAGGCACAGAAATTATCCTGGATGATGTTCAAGGGAAAAATGAGATAATGTATGTGAGAGTGCTTTGGAAAGTCCAGATTATACAGCACATGTGAGGAATTGTTATGAATATTATTACTATCCCACCCTGAGTGAAGGAACAAAGAGCATTGGAGAAAAGCCAGAGGTTAAATTAACATATAGCTAATACCTGAAGTCTCTGATTTGCTCTGCTGTCACCTTAGTCACAGTAAGTCACTTACACATGTTTTAACCACCATAAGACACCTTAACATAATGGAATAATCAAAACTTAGCTACCCCATGAGCAATAATGGGTGTGGAAGTTCACTGACTTTCCAAGGAGGCAGTTGGCTGGGTTGTCTCATCAGGGAATTGGAATCATCGTATGACTACTTTGCATGGTTTAGAACTGATAAAACTCAGTGAAGGTTTTTAATTTCTGACTTTTATAATTTTTTTGGTCTTGCTCCATATTGCCTCTATCCTGTCCATTTTACCAAGCAATCTAGAATAGCTGTATCTCTCAGAATATATCAATGAGAACAATTCCTTTTCCTACAGAAAATTCTATCAAAGTATTCTCTTTCTATCAAGTATTCTTTCTTATTGGTATAGTGAGACAAATCAGGGCCACATCCTTATAATGGAACCCAGATAATCAGGCCATAGAATGAGGTCTGTCTGTAGAGAATAGGATACTGCTGCCAAAATAATTTTTGTCCTTTTGTTTACATGCCCTCCAGAAGGAAGAAAGTTATCGACTTGTGGGAGTTGTGGGGGTAAGGAGAAACTGATTTAAATAAACTTGTGATAACATATGTAAATATATACTTTATGAACTATTTTTCAACTTTCAAAAATCTCAACAGGGACTCAAAAGGGAGTTTAAAACTCATTCTTTTCTCAGCTTCTAGCCAAAGGTAGAAATAACACCCAGATCTACTTGAACTCTTTTAGTATCAGGTACCTCGATATTCATCAGGCAGTACATTTCATTGTGGTTCATTTCTTTCTTCGCATTGGCAGCTGGTTAAAACTCTCAAAGTAATTAGAAACACATAGTCATGGAATACTAAAGGAATTCTTCAAGATAACCTAAAGCCATTCCCTTATGATACACATGGGGAAACTGAGTCTCAGAGAAGGAATTTCTACAAAGCCACATAGTACCAGAACCAGAACTAGAATCCAAGTCTACTTCACAACCCAGTTTGTCTATTTTCCAAATATAAAGGAGTAGTACCAGGTTTAGTGTTGATTACCTAGTAACTATATTACCAAGAGTATAATTTCCTATTTCCCCTCATTCTCACAATCTATTGTTTGTTCATTTTACTCTCAACAGGAAAAATTCCAAACAGTGGACTAGTCAGGCAGAGGTAGCTCATAGAAGGGAAATAGTGCAGCCCACTTGTTTTGGCTCCTCCATGGTGATGACTAACAACCTCCTGGAAGTAATGACATCTTACTGTTTAATTCCATCATACAATACAGGGCAATTTCTTTATCTTTCCAAATGGGACGATGTCTTTAAGGGGCACAAAGGGAATAGAAATGTAATCATTCCAAGATGGATTTCTGGGCACACAAATATCACTTGATAAATGCCTTCTATTTGGTTAGGATTTAGAGTCACTGAAAGGGAAAACAGAGGTGCATAAAGGGTGCTATAGGAGAGCCTATCTGCTGGGGAATGTTGAGAATATGTACAGCTAACCCTAATCTGTTACAGACTATAGTCATCCTCTTATCTCCTATGGGCACTGAAAAATATGGTCCTTCCATTTTATAAACTAATGATGAAACTGATCTGTATCCTTTCTGTTAAGTTCCCAAGGGAGGGGTGGGCACATGAGTGGAGTCAGTCTTCAGAAAGAAAGCTGAGAAAAAAACATCTTCAGGTTTATAATTAAATTTTAGTTCTGAGTAATGAATCCAAAAGGTTTCTTGCTCTCTACAGATGATATTCAAGTGAAACAGTAGAGCAAAGCAAGAAGAAATCCCTAGCAGGGCTGCCATAGATTCCTGGGAAGTTGCCACTTACTTTTGCCTATGGACTAGAGACTTTGTTCCCCTAAATGACCCCCTCCATTTCCCCCCAAATTTCTCTCTCTTCCCCTCCCTTTCTCCCCCCCTCTGTCCCTGTACCAGAACTGGGTATTTTGTTTTGTGCTACAGTTGAAAGTGTTATCACCCCAATTTATATATTTTAAAACCTCCAACTTAGATTTTATTCAACCCCATGCCATATAAAAATGGAAGTAACCATCCTGTTTAACCTGGGAACAGAAAATGTAGGAGAATCTGGTTTCTGGTTTGTAGATCTCTAAGTAACTGTTGTGTTAGCAAGGTGCTGGTGGCTCATACCTGTAATTCTAACTACTCAGGAGGCTGAGATCTTAGGATCATGGTTCAAAGTCAACCGAGGCAGGAAAGCCTGTGAAGTTCCTATCTCCAATTAACCACTGGAAAACCATGAGTGGTGCTGTGTCTCAAAGTGGTAGAGTGCTAGCCTTGGGCAAAAAAGCTCAGAGAGAGTGCCCAGGCCCTGAGTTCAAGCCCATGACAGATCAAACACCCCCCCCCAAATAAACAATTTGCTGTGATACAAAGGATATTTTTTAATGGGCCCAATTGGGGTGACTAAAAACTGTGATTCATGACAACCTTACGTGTCAAGCACTGTTGCATATAGTTTACAAGGATTATGTTTTCATCCTCTCAACATTAGGAAGTGAGTACCATTCTCCCTTTTTAAAAAAGGGAACAGAGAGGCTTGAGAACTTCAATTTTTTTTTTTTTTGCTCACTGGGCTTACTATTGTTTCAACTAATTAATTAATTTAGTGCCAATACCAAGGCTTGAAATCAGAGCCAGGGAGCTGTCCCCAAACTGTTTGTGGCCTTGTTCACTCTAGCATGGAGTATGCTCACTTGTTTCTTTCTTCCAATACAGCTGACTCACATTTACCAGATTTTTTCCCTAAAGTACAGATCTAGCTTTTCCTTTAGTTCACAGACCTGTAGCAGTGGCTATCAACACTAGGTCCAGTCAAACTGAAACTCCAGTATCCAAAGTCTTCCAGAACTTTACACTCTCTCCCTCATTGTGGTACAAAATCCTGCTCTGCTTGTGTCTCACATGCTCTGAGCTTTCTTTGTTTTCCAGTAGTTGTTCCCACAGCTTTCTCAGCTTAAACTCTTACACTGCCTTCTTTCCCACCTCCACCTGTTGAAACCAGTACTCTAGAGTCTATCTTAAATAATAATAATAGTTAACATTTATTGAGTGCTCATTTTAAGCCTGCCACTGTGCTAAGCGTGCACAAGTATTTTGCATGGATTCTTACTTAATCCTCACAACAACTCGATGATGTTGATGCTATTATTATCCCCACTTTAGCTGGAGTTACTGAAGCTCAGAGGGGGATGTCAATTTGTCCGAGGTCAAGAAAGTTAATACAAGGTGGGGATGGATCTGATCCCAAACAGTATCTGATCTGGAGCTTTGAAAAGTGGTATAATTTCAAAACACAATTTTAAATGTTTTTATTTTCTCTTGGCTCAAGTTGGTATGATTTTTACTTGAAAAACAGAAATTTTTAAATTTCACTTTGTGTGTGTGTGTGTGTGTGTGTGTGTGTGTGTGTGCCCAAACCAAGGCTTGAATTCAAGGGTCTGGGCACTGTCCTTTAGCTTTTTCAGTCAGTGCTCTACAACTTGACCAACAGCTCTACTTCTGGTTTTTGATGGTTAATTGGAGATAAGCCTTACATACACTTTCTTGTTCTAGCTGGCTTTGAACTATAATTCTCAGATCTCAGCCTCCAGAGCATCTAGGATAGCAGGTGTGAATCACGGGTACTTGGCTTCCTTTCACCTTTAAAATTCATCTTTTTTTAAAGGATTGTTTGTGTTCTTATACCCATTATGAGTCTGGACCGCAGGAAGTACAGCCTTGATCATTTCACTATCCACAGTCTGACAGAGTAGGTACTCAGTAGCTACAATTAGTTGAATTGAAAGTATGCTGTAGCAAAGGAGGCGTTGGCCTGTGTTACCAACACCTGTCCAAATCAGAGCTTGCAGTCCTGTTTTCCCAGCTTGGTCTCTGGCGGGTCTCTTCTTGTCTCCCCCCACCCCTGCCAGTTCTCACAGCTGCCTGGGCCTTGGCCAGTGTTTGGGGTGAGGCAGGATCAAAATATCACTGTCCTGGTCTGGGCTTTCAGGAGGGGGGGTGGGGAATCTAGTGAAACTCAGCTGGGCAGGGTGAGGGGGTGGAGTCAAAGCCCCATACAGAGCCAGCACACTCTACACAAGCCCTGACTTGCCCGGGCACCACGTGGGTGAGCCTGCAATTCAGCTTCCCTAGGGATGCTCCATTTGTCTAATCCTTTCCCTCCCCCCCCCTCCTCGTTTACTTATCTTCTTAACCCAGATGCTCAAGGTAATTGTACAAGTCTGGGCATGTTCCCAGTGGCCCTGTGACTCAAGTAAGAACCTATACAGGAGGAACAGGCTCGCCAAGGCTCTAAGGATACCAGTATAGGTTCCTAACACTTCAGAAAATCCTTTCTTGTCACTAGTAGATGAATTGACAGATGACCACGGGACACCTTCCCAGACGTTCGGATTGCGAAGCAACTTAGAAAAAAGACTTGTGATCTTGTACTTTCATAGCTAGATGCCACACTTCCCAGCCTATTTGCCACGCCAAGGGGGTGTTCCCACACTTACCTTGTAAGGATGAATAGGTGAATCTTTTACAACAGGGTTCCAGAACAAATGCACCTTGAAACTGAAAAGTCACCTCGCCCAGCCGCAGCCCCTCAGCCCTCAGCCTACGCACAGCTTGCACAGAAGAAATCCGTAGCAGCCAGAGTTCAACACGTATTTTCACATCCACGTGTAGTAACAACAGATCAAAGCCACCCTCTATTTCTTTCATGCTATTCTTACTTTCCCCACGCCCCCGTGAGGCTTCAGGGACAGTTATTGGACTACTTGATGTAGCTAGGAGTGGCTATGCAAAAAACTCCGCCCCTGAGAGGGACACAGTGAGTCCAGGGGATAAACAATGACCCAGTCACTGGTACAGCAGGATTTGCGAAATCTGCTGGGACTGAAGCGGAGGCGAAAGGGCCTAGAGCCAGGGAATTGAGTCCAGCCCAGTGTGTGGGAAGAAGGGGGAGAAGACATGGTCAAGCGATTGGACGCAGCTAAATGCGGTTCAGCTCTTCCGTTTTGTGTATGAGTTAGCCGGCCAGGAGAAAATTAGTGTTGGAAAAGTAAGGGTTTCATACACATGGAAATGCCAATTCCCAGACCTGGTTCTGTACTTTCCATTTTGTCCATCTTGTCTTCAGAAGAGTGAGACTTTTGCAGGAGGAGAGAGACTTGATGCTGGAGAAAGACTACCGAAAATGAAGGAAAACCGGATCCCGGAGTTATCTCTGACTTTAAGCCAACCTTTTACCTTCTGGGGGCCTCCTGTTTCTGTGCAACGAAGAGGTTGGATTTCATTGTCCCTAAGGCTCTTTCAGCAATGACACTTTGGGAGTTAATTAGTCTATGATCTCACAGGCAGCAATGAGGAAATCCTGGAATAATATCCCTGACCTTGAAGAACTTACAGAGGAGTTGGGGGGAGATAAGACAGACTGGACACAGTCACCTAACAACACACAGTATAAACTGAAGGACAAAGTAAGAAAAGTATGAGGATAAGGGGAAAAGTATAAAAGAAAGAGTATATAGTGAAGGAAAGAAATAATCTTCAGTCGACTGGGATAGGCAAAAAACAAGTATAAAAGCAAATAGCCAAGGTATGGGGGATGGAATCAAGCACTGGGCCATAATCAGAATCTGACTATCTCCACCCGGCCTATAAAGAGGGTGTGTGTGTGTGTGTGTGTCCCAGAAGTTCAGAACTGGGTATCAGGATTCAGGCTAAAATTTCTTTGGAGGGAAAAGCGTTGAGGTGACATTGCAAAAGTTCTAAATTCATTCCTTATCGATTCCTCACTAATAGCTAAGGCCAGGATATGTCCACTTACACTGCTGCTATGGACTCAGGCCTAGTACAAGAGAAAATGTTTTTAGTTGGATCAGGTTCTTACTAACGCTGTGATCTTGGACAAGTGTGTATCCTTATTTGTAAATGGGGACAATAATAATATCTTGCTCATTTGGTTACTTTTTTAAAATAAGTTTTTTATTGTAAAAATACTGTACAGAGGGGTTACAATTACATGAGCAAGGTAATGAGTACATTTCTTATCAAGCATTGTTGCCTCCTCCTCTGGTTTTCCCCTACCATCCCTTCCATCTCCACAACTGCAC